GTTTGTTTAGTGCAACTGAGATGTAGCTGCATTTTCTTGGTTCAATTATAGTTACTTTGATGTGAAAGAGAGAGCTTCTATTTACTAATTGGTATTCTCCATGTTTTTCCAGTTTGATTTGCCACCTCCTCCAGATGGTGAAGGATATTCCTATGAAGTTTCTTCCAAGGAATTGCGCCCATCCTTGGATTGGTCTCCAGAGAATGGTTGGACAGTACCCACACCCATGGTACCTGCAGCCCATTCATATTTCTGTATCTTTTTTTTTTCCGTTTAAGAGGAATTATCAGATATTACTGCCAAACTTTAAATTGATTAATAACTGAGTTGTTTCAAATACTACCTTCAATCAGCTTGAACTGTCAGAAACTGACAAGGAGCCTCCACATTCCCATCACCTGATGATGATGACGTGTCACTTCAGGAATTGGCATTTAAAAATGAATGCCATGCATGAAATCAATTGTGAAGTTACAAAACTCTTTTCTTTTTGCTGACAACTCTCTCATTGTTAATTTGGTGTTGCACTTTGGGTATTAACCCTCTAGCATTCCTTTATTGAAAAAAATACGTCAAATTTTTGTTATATTTCTTCTTCATTGGGGTTGAAACAATACCTCATGTCTTTCTAAAAATGAATGCCAGGCCATCATCCTGATTCATGATAAATGCTGCAATCCTTTGGCTAAACAAGATTCCATTTTGTCACCGATGTTAGTAGTGTTAGGTCAATTTTGTATTGATATTTTAAAGCTACTTCTACCTTGTGTTTAGGTGGTTCTTCTACCATGCAGGTTTTGATGCTTTCTGTCCTAATAAGTAATGAAAAACAATTCTTTTATCCTTCAATTTCTGAATTATTTTGAAATGCCTTTTTGGTTGCAGGAGAGTGAATGTGTGCATCCTTGTGCTCGAGTAATGAAGCCTGGTAATCAATTACGAATACATATTTTCTCAACAACGTATATACATGCATGCATATTATTATTTTCTATTAGCCTTCTGACCTCAACATCTAGGGCTTGTGACAATTGACTAAAAGGTCGTACCCAGTGCACAAGGCTCACGCTTTACGCAGGGTCTGGGAGAGGTGAATGTCGGCTAGCCTTACCCCCATTTATGGAGAGGCTGCTCCCAAGTCTCGAACCCGAGACCTACCGCTCATGGGCGAAGGCACTTGCCATCGCACCAAGTGCGACCTCTTCTTGTGACAATTGATTGAGATAAAATAAAATTGGAGCCATTGGAGATGCATACTTGTACATCATGTTATTGAACTTTTTTTTCTTTGGTAGGACTGTTGGGGCAATGGTCTATTTCTTTTGCTCCTAATAGATGAATCCTAAGGGAAATGATATTTTCCATACGACTATGAGGTGGTGATTTGATCTTATTAGTTATAAACATATAGCTGGCCAGTTTATAACCTGGTAAATAATTAAACTCCAATTGACGAAGAAAGATTCAAATCAGATAGTACGGCTGGAAACAATTTTGTAATTCGATGGAATATGGTTGCTTCTGGAAACTTCAGAGTTTGCGACAGTCATACATCTTCTCAAGCCTTTGTTGGTTTTGGGGATTGTCAATCCTGCTTGAAGGGTTTCAGATGCAACTCAATACGCCTCAAATTGGCGAAAACAGAGCTCCTTTTTGGATTAGCAATAAGAAGTTGATTAGTAAAATAGTAAAGACTGCTTTGAGAGTTATGAATGTGAAATATATATCCTCAGTATCAGGAAAATGAAGTTGAAAGAATGAGTTGGTAAGGGACTTCATATGCATTAAGATTTTGACCTTTTAGTTATCCAAGAGGTAGAACCCATACATAAATTGTAGTGAAAGCTGTAAGCTATACCAGTCTACCCACAATTGTGGTGTTGTCTTTTTAAGTTACTTGGCCAGCCGTAATTGACCACTGGATTTGTGCTGTATTAATGTTGTTGTAGGTTTATGTAATGTTTTTTCTTTTGACGGTATAGGCAATGTTGAACGCAAATTATGGGTTCTAAGTATCCAAGGAACAAACATTATATGTTTCTCGGTTCAATTCCCCCACAGTTAAGGCTGATGTGGAGAGGTGAAGTCAGATCTAAGTATGAAGCGTTTGAATAACCATTAAAATGGTGTCATATTAAGTAGTTGTAGAAGAAAAGCAGATCAAGGGCTATAAGAATGTTCTAGTGAAATTTTGGTTAGTTATCCATGATTTTGAAGAAGATGGAAGGGTACATATAATGTTACCCTAACTTCCTCTCTTGAATCTTGTCTTTCATTTTTCTTTCCAGCAGGATGGATCTGATTGAGAGGGGATTATTGTTGTTGCAGGGGAAGTTCCAAGCTGTACATTCCATGCTGTGGGTGATGAAAATAGGTGTCTCCAAGCTTTTGCTACAGCATCACATCGTTCACCTTCTTCTCACGTGTCTGCTAGCTCATTACAACCTCCCAAAGGATTAGAGGAAATGGCAAAGCAACCTCTAGGCACTATAAAAACTATGGAGAAACCACCACCAGATGTAAATGTTGGATCCGATATGGCAGATAGTGGGATTGCGAAGGCAAGTTGCTCAGATAGTGTTTCAAGTTCGCATGTTAAAAGTGAGCCAAAGGGGATGCGAAGAACTGCAGCCGGAGAAGATAGAGTTGACAACAATGGGTCGTTGAAGAAAATGAAAACGGATAGGAACATAGTTTTAAATTCGACGAAGTCTGATACATTAGAAGCTGCGATTCTAGACTTGGAGGAACTTGTAAGCCGGGTTAAATGGATGAAGGGCGTCTTAGAGATTGGAATGCCTTGGACAAGTGCCACGCGCCCCACTTGGAAGTTTCTGTGACATCATCCTTGTCCTCACCAAAACGAGAGGTTTCACTCCCAGTAAGTGTACGTATCATGAAATTTTTTTAGCGGCGTTTAGATTGTTACTAACTCATGCTCATCTGTTTTGACTGTTTTCTTTTTACAAACTTCTTTTGGGGTGAATGTGAAGCACATATTGAAAGGAATGAACTTTATGCATAACTTTCCGCACAAAACAAACACTTCTTGTAGTGACTATATAATCTTCCTACAAGAATGGCTTTGTGAGTTTCCGATTTTGAATTGGGAGCGGCAGAAGCAGATTGAGATGGGTGGAGGTTTTTTTGGGCCTAAAAGCGGGATTCCGGCTCAATGGTTTGGCCTAACTAGCTTGTTGTCATGATTAGGGATGGGCAAAATATCCATGGGTTTGGATAATCGTAGTTACCCGTCAATTTAAAGTTCACGGTTACGGTTATGGATAACTGTTTAGACGAACAAACGGTTATGGGTATAACCGTTTATCCGTGAAATTTAAATGGGCGGTTATGGGTATTATCCGCGATTATAATGGGTATCTATTTACCTATTTAATTTAATATATATAAAATTTAAAAAAAAAAATTTAAAATCCTAAATTTTCAATCTCTCTGCCAGACCTCAGTCCCCGATATTTATATGAATAATGATACCTCATTGCATATGGCTAAGCTGTGCTTTCTCTCTCTTCTCTCTCTTCTCTCTCTTCTCTCTCTCTCTCTCTGGCCTTTTTTGTAACGACTGAACGGTGGCCGTGCCTTATGGTGGTGCTCTAGCTAATCACCGAAAGTCTTTTCTTATCTTGGAGTTCCTGGGAAATTATTTGATCTGCAACCTGATTTGCAACCTGATTTGCAACTCGAGATTTTTGTTGAATTTTTCTGCTATCAAGTATATGTTTTGTCATTTATCTTACTGTGTGATTTGTTATCCTTATGTTTTTAATTTATTATCTTGTCAGTTTCTTCTTTTCCTAAGAATTTTTTATCTCTACAGATTAATGCCTGCAATGGCTTCTACTCTAGCAGAAAAATATCGGTCGTAAATTATTATTTCAATTATTTAAATTGTATGAGAACTTAAATGATTAAAATAGAGAAATGCATGTTAAAATGTATCTATAACAGTGTTTAATTGTCAGAAAACGAAAATTATGATTTCTTTTGTAATTTTCAAGTTGTTAAAAAAAACATGTAGACTGGTGAAAAAAGGGTAAATCGGTAAAAAAAAGGATAAACGGGTTAAAAAACGGATAAATGGCTAAATAGGTACACAGTTATGGGTATGGTTAACCGTCTATAAACGATTATGGGTATGAGTATAATCATTTATGCAATTTCCTAACGGGTAAATGGTTATGCAAGTATAAACATAAATGGTTATGGGTAAATAACCACGATTACCCACATATCCGTTGCCCATCCCTAGTCATGACCATAGAAAATTTTTACGCATCCAGCGTCTGCTAGACCTCTAACAAAGTCATCAAAGTTTAACTTCCAACTGCCGATATCCGGTGGTTACCACAAATGTTTTTTTTTAGCTTATTTTTAGCCACACCCATAGATTTTGATTTTGATCTTACTTACAATTGAAAAGACCCGTCACTTTACTTCTTGAAACCTAAAATTCGTTTACTTTGATTTGTGGACTCTATTCTTCTTGAAATTCAAAAATCGCCAAACATATGTTTGACCCACCACCTAATAAAACTATGCCACATGTGCTAATGAATTTGATTATAAATCTCTACTATGCGTTAACATTTAACAATAAAAAAAATATTAAGTTTAAAATAATAAATTAAGAATGTGGAATTTTTTTTTGTTGCTGTGCTTGAGTCGCAAAGATGGAAAAAAATAGAAAAAAAATTGATTAGTCTATTGCTTTCAAATCAAACTCACAAAATAGAATTAAAGCAATGTAGGGAAAATTTTGAGTTTTATAGAGTAAATTACGATTTTTGAATTTTAGGAGCAAAATGAGATTAAAATTGAGTTTCAAGAGACAAATTGAAACGAATTTTGAGTTTCAAAGAGTAAAGTTTTGACTTTTGAATTTGGCAAAGTAAGATTCAAATCGAATTCTAGAAGTGAGGACAAAAATGGAATTTAGCTTTGGATTATAAATTTAAGGAAGAGAGAAAAAGAAAAACCTCAAAATATTTGAAAGCATTTCTGCGTGCCTGTATTTCACTCTAAAAAGCATTTCAAAACTCAAAATTTTTTCCCTCCTTTCTTCCCTGCCAAAAATGGAGCCTTCAGCTCTCAAACTGGTAATGGTTCAAGGTCCGCGGAAGGGCGAAACCCTAGAATTCGTACCCGGATCCAAGATCCGAATCGGCCGCGTTGTTCGGGGCAACAACCTCCCGATCAAAGAGTCCGGCATTTCCTCCAAGCACCTCTCCATCGAATCTGAATCGGGCAAATGGGTTCTCCGAGACCTCGACTCCTCAAATGGCACGGTTTTGAATGGGTTGGATATCCCCCCAAATACGCCCGTGGATCTCACCGACGGCGACGAAATCAAAATCGGTGAGTACACTTCCGTCGAGGTGAAGATCGCCGGCTACGAAGAGAGCCGGCTGAGACGGAACCCTAGGCGTGCGGCGGCGGCAGCGGAAGCTACTGCGGTGCCGGTTTTGGAAAGTCGGGGACGGAGAGGTAGGGTTGCGAAGGAGGGCGAGGAGAAAGCGGAGGTGGAAAGAGCGAACGTTGAGGAAATTGAGGTCGCAGGGAAACGAGGGAGGGGCCGACCGCCCAGAGCTAGGGTTTTGAAGAGTGAAGCTGCAGAGGAAGACTTGGCACGGCAGGTGAGTACGAGGCAAACTCGGAGCTCCAGGATTGAGGAATTGGGGAAGATTCCAGAGAACTCTGGTGTAGATAGTGAAGGAGTGAACGTTGAGCCGAAAAGGACCCATGTTGGTGCAAGGAGGAGGAAAAATGTACCGGAGGAGGTACCGGTGTGTGATAAGCTTGATGTTAAGGAGGAAGAGGCTTCGAAAGGGCTGAATTTGGAGGAAGAGAGACATGAAGAGTTAAATGTTAGAGGAGAGAGTGGCGAAAAGGGTAAATATGGAAGTGGGAGTGGTGAAAAGGGTGAGAAAGGAAGTGGAAGTGGTGAAATCGGTGTCAATGGAAGTGGGAGTGGCGTTAAGGGCGACAACGGTAGTGGGAGTGGTTCAGGTGTAAATGAGAGCTGTGACTTGGAGAAGATGACGCTTGGGGAGTGGTTTGATTTTTTGGAGAGGAATTTTCCACAACAGATCATTGATGAGACGGAGGAGGCAATTGCCGAAATGACAGAGAAAGCTAAGCGAATTCAGGAGTACATTGTGCAGGAGAAGGAGAAGGCGAAAGTGCTTGTGGGCTACAAGGGGGGAGCTGGGACTTGTGTTTTCTGGTAATTTGCAGCTCAATTCTTCTTCTTTTTTTGTAAATTACGTGGCGTATCAAATTTGTGTTGTTTTGTTTTGTTTTGTTTTATCGTGTTTACGTGATCTCTTACTTTGATAAAGTTACCCGGTATTCAATTTAAAGTGTTGGATGTGAAATCGAAGTTGAATCCATTGAATCTTTAATTTGGGACGAGATGAAACTATGTTTATTTATGTTGTGAGCATCGTTCATATTGAGGGGGCTGGAATAGCATTAGCATTTTCATTGAGTGTTCTGCATACCACATTATATATTGATAGCAAAATCAAGAATTTTCATGTTTTGGGTACGTTGGTTGTGTGTTGAGCTCGCCTGCTTGATGTCAGCTTTTGCAAATCGTGTGTTACTGACAAGGAGTTCATAGATGTTACTATATCAAAGCAGTTGCTTCTGTTAACTTATCCGAAGAAAAAGGCGAGACTGTATATGATACGCTTCATTCTCTGTCAATTGCTTGTGTCTATGTTCATCGTGTTGGGAAAGAAATAACTGGGTTCTTTATCCCCAGAGAACTCTCTCTAAGTAAGGGAGGTGATGAGGTCTCATACATCTCTCCCCGGTTCCTCCCAATGAATTTAGCTGTTTAGCTTGGCAAGGCAACCAATTTATGCACTTCTCCTTTAGCGGCCTGCTTCTACATGTTTTGTTATAAATTCGTAGCTTTCAAAACAATGAGTCTTGGCTGACTGGTAGCTATGGAGAAATACGTACAAGAGGATGTAGATACACTTCTTGATAATGGAATTTGTGGACAACTAATGAGGGACGGTCATAAATCATAATAAGGTTTTGTGAGACTCTGCTTGATAATGGGATCCACGAACAAGTTGTTTTCAGATGTAATTGAAGGACAAGAGGGAATATTTCTTGAGGCTCTTTTTGGCAAACGGGGTGATTATACTGGGCGTACTGTCATTGGCGTAGGTCCCTCATTGTTGTATATATCTATTGTGCTGTGAATTTGTTAACTGTTGCATCTGGTTCAGTGTCAAATCTAGATTGCTGACATAATTTTGTCGGATAGGTTAATTGGGTTAGAGCACTTCCAACGTGTGCTCCAGCCCGAGTGACAGGCGCAGGAATAGGGCCAAAGAGCCCGAGTGATGAAGCCCAGCGCGTGTTGGCAAGTGAGCCCGAGCAGGCTCGAGGGTGAGGCACGACACGAGTCGTCAGCTCGAGCGCTCAAAGGGAATGTGACTTGGGCCGACGTTAGGACGATGGCAGCCATGTTTTTTATATTGTTTGCGCCAGGCACGTGGGCTTTAAGTGCACGTGGGCGCGTGCCATCCAACAGAATTTCAGGCCTGGGCTCGCAGCGCACTCGGAAATGTTACCGTTGGGGAGGCCATGTGGCTTCCCCATGTTTGTTGGATTTCAACGACTACAATTTTTGGATCCTTGGATTTCTAACGGTAAAAAAAATAAAAAAAACTTATTTAATATAAGCCATTGGATCTGAGATCAACGGTCCATGTTATTCGTCTTTATAAATAAAAAAAAAGTTAAAAAATAAAAAATCTTACTGTTGTGCCATGTGGCACAATTTGGAGTGTTGGAATTCAATTTTTTTTTAAATCCAACGATAGAGATTAATTAGGTGAATAAAATTTTTTAAAAAATGAAAAAATTTAAAAAAAATCGAAAAAAAATTTGAAAAATTTTAAAAAAATTGATTTTACTTTTCTATAAATACTTTTTCATTATCTTCTACCTTACACCACAATTTCATATTTTCTCAACTACTTTCAACCACATAACTATGCAGGTACGAATTGGATGCTTATTGAAGATGTTGCGTTGTGTACTAGCTGGGTTGAAGTTACTCATGATCCGATTACAGGTAATGAGATGCAGTTGCGAGAAATGTGGAGTCTTATTCATACCAATTAATTGGTGGGAAAATAACCAAGGAATCGATGTCTAGTCGTTGGAAATTACTTAAGCCAATCGTTTAGTACGTGGAAAGACGCTTTGGCACAAACTAGTAGTAATCTTCGAAGTAGGGAAAATTTAGCAGATCAGGTAATAATATATTATTTATTTGTTTGTACTATACCCAAATTTACATTATAATTATTTGTTTGTATTATTTATTTGTTAGCTACTTTGATTATAATTATTTGTTTGTATTATTTATTTGTTACCTACTTTCATTATAATTATTTCTTCTCCTGCATTGTGTAGGAATTTCAAGCACAAGATTGGTATAATGCCAACACCAAAAGCAAAAACAAATCATTCAATCGGTGGGAATGTTGGAATATTGTCAAAGATTGTTCTAAATTTAGAGTTGTGCCCGTAAGTCTAGAAGTTTTCATGAACAGTTGCAGTTGTTGAGAGAAAAATTCAAGCTAATGAGAGAGAAAAAGAGCTACTTAGGCAAGAAAGGGAACATGTTAGAGAAGAAAGAATGGCTCAACGAGATCGTGACATTATGAACACACCTTTAGAAGGGAAGTCTCCAAATTCTAAATATTTTTGGAAGTCGAAGAAAGCGGAAGTGGTGCAAAGGAGGCGTGCAAGAGAAGCGTGAGCAAGAGGAGATGGTCCTAGCATGACAAGAGAAGATCATCCTATCACCACAAATTGGTTAAGTGATGATGAATAAAGTACTTTTTGTACTCGGAGCTCATAATTTTCCAATAACTTTGGGTTGTAATTTATTATTTATTGAATAGAGTACTTTATGTTGTTTACAATTTATTGAATTTAGTACTTTATTTATACTAAGAGAATCTTTATTCAAATGACATAAACACACCAAATAAAATTACATAAACATACCAAATAATTAAAAACTCACTAAATGAACTAAAAGAAACACACCAAATAAAATTAAATAAACACACCAAATAAAAACAAACACACTAAATGAACTTAAGTATCTTGAACTTGTTTCAATTTCCACTGGTGCTCTATCAAGTCAATTTGCCAGACATTGTGCGTATATGGCCTTTGAAGTGCAATATATCATTGAATGAGCATTTCATTGTAACATTCATCCATTTCTAATGGCTTGTGTTGCACGAGTTCTTCGGTGGCGTCATGAGTACAATATATTTGTGTTATGGAATTGTTCATCGTGCCTGGCTCATATTCATCAATGACATCGTAATTGTACTCATCTTCTACATCAAACATTTTGGCAGCACCCCTAACAATCGTCCATCGAGCTTGGAGGATACCAAAACAACGCTCCAAATCCTTCATGCACCCTTCTTGACAGCATGCAAAGTGTTTTTCCTTTGCACTTCGCGGATGTGGCACTGTTTTGACAAACGATAACCACCTTGGGTAAATGCTGTTTGCTAGGTAGTATGGCCCGTCGTACTTATGTCCGTTGACCCAGTACGTGACTTTTGGTGCCTTTCCTTGCAGAACATCGTTGAACACTGGGGATTGGGTAAGGATATTGAGGTCATTTTGAGCTCCCAGAACCCTGAAAAATGCGTGCCAAATCCATGTATCAAAAGATGTCACCACCTCCAAAATGATACTTTTTGCTCTTTTTCTGTCCCCATAAGCGCCTTGCCATGCACTTGGACAGTTTTTCCAGGTCCAGTGCATACAGTCGATGCTTCTAATCATCCTAGGAAAACCTTGCATCTCGCCTTTCTTCAGAAGCCTTTGCAAGTCCATGTCAGTAGGTCTCCGGAGGAACTCTGCGGTGTAGATAGATTTGATTGCTCCACAAAACCTCATCAGGGACTCAAGAATGGTTGATTTCCCCATCCTCGTTATCTCATCTACTTGGTCTGTAGATGCTCCATATGCAAGCATCCGCAAGGCAGCAGTATTTTTTTGCTCAGAAAGGAGATCCATAACACCAAAAGCATCATTCTTTTGCACAAAGTAAGAATCATGGTTGCAAACAGCAATTATGATTTTGTTGAACAAATGTCGTTCCATTCTAAAATGATGTCTAAAGTGCGTATCAGGGAATGAACTATTATGGACAAAATAATTGTCCAAGAGTTCCATACCTCGTTGTTGCTTGCTTCTATCAAGGTTTCCGGAACGGTTAGGCCTGCAAATCTGACCCACAACTTGGATGACTCGATGGGAATGTGAGGCTCTACCCATTCTTGCTTCGTCATCTCTTCTTCTACGCTCCTCATCCTCTTCTCTCTCATTTTGGGCCACCTAGAGATTAAACATTCCTTCTGATTGGTTAAACAATTCTTCCTCTTGCTGATTGATTTCCCACATCATCCTTGAAGAAGAAGACATTGAAGGAAGCAAAAACTATGAATAATGATACAGATTTTGATTTTGGTGAAGAAGGAAGCAGAAATTATAAATAATGATAGAGATCTTCAAAAAATTGGTGTGATATGTATGAGGATGGATGGTGGATTATATGGAGGATTCATAAAAGATTAGGTTGTAGATAATGCCACGTGGCATGCTGTCATTCGTTAAAAATTTGATTGAAATATATCCTTAAAGATTGTAAATAGATTGTGACACGTGGTGTGACGTGATTGGTTAAAAATCTTATCGGAAATCTATCCTCAACGATTTTGAAAAGGTAATGACACGTGACATGACGGCATTGGATAAAAATCTTATCGAAATCCATCACCAATAATTGTCTTTTCGAATAATGACACTTGGTATAATGAGAACGATTAAAAATATTATCCGAAATTACAAATTAAATTATTTTGTATTATTTTATAAATAAAAAAAAATACTAATATTTTATTGCCTATTAACAGGGCTATTTAGTGTAAGGGTGGAGATGCAAAAGGCAGTTACTGTTCATTAAGGATAGTTACTGTTCACTGGGTAGATTAAATAGTGAATAGCCTGGAGGGGCCTTTCCCACCGAAGAACTGCTCTTACGTTGCTTGAATGACATTGTTTCTGATACATCTACAAATAAGTTCATTGGATTAAACCATTTATCCAAACATGCATGTGCTTGGATTGCCCATGTTTGTATAAAAGTTTGATGGTGCTAAGACCATTTAGGCACGAAAGAAATTATTTGAAATTTGATAATAGGGGTACATTTGCTACGCATTGAGCTTATAGCTCAAGTGATTAGATTTACTCAAACTCTTGGAATAAAACTCTTTAAAGTTCTAAACCTATTCCAACTTACTCCAACCTTTGGGCCAAATATGAGTTTTAACTAAAAATTCATTTTTGTTGGAGAGGCCAGAATTTTCCTATGGGTTAGTGGGCTAACTTAACATATATATGTATTTTTTTTTAGTTTTATATTTATAAATTCATTGAATTCAACGACTAAGATTTAATATGATTAAATCCAATGGTAAAAAAAGAAGAGAAGATCTAATTGTCCAAATTTAAATCTGACAACTAAAATAATTAAAAAAAATCTTTCAGGTGTTTCATATTTTTTTATAGTGTTTCATGAATTTCATGATGTCAGTTTAATGATTTTTCAATATTTATTAGAATCTAAATATTTTTAGGTTAAAATGTTCATAAAATTAAATTAGGATAGTCTACATATTTTTTTTTAAAATTATCCTAAATTCATTGTTTAAGAATCTCAGACTAAAATTTTAACCTAGAAAGGTTGGAGTATAAAAATTGTTTTTGGGTTAAAATCTAAACTGTCTGGGTTAACAAATTTAGGTTTTAACCCAAGAGTTGGAGATGATCTTATAACAGTAACAAGTTGGAACATTAATTTTGGAGATCCAATTAGTGATATTTACTGATAAAAAAAAAGAAAAATTAATGAAAAAGGCTTGAAAACTTTGAATGTTAACAAAAAACCATGTACTAACTTTATTTAATGATTAGGACAAAGACCAACATTAAATTAGTCCAATTAATATGGCCCAAACAATGAGTTTCCGATTTTGCCCCTAAAGGCATTCGTCCAATCTTACAGATCTCTCTGCTATGCTCTGTCTCCCCTTCTCTCCATGATACAACGATGACAATCTCTTCTCAAAGAAGGAGAGGAGAGGAGATGAGAGATCGTTGTGTTGTTGACGAACATTCAGGTACCACCGCCACTACTACCTCAGACCCGTCCCGGCCCAAAATTCCGATCAACGAAAAGCTTCGGTCTACTAACTTCAATTCAATCTTCCAATCTTTGGGTCCACTGCTACCACAGAGGTGCATCAACGTCTACAACAACGACGTTGGAGTTGATATTCGGACACCTCCTAACCAATAGCAATTAGGATTTTATCTTCTATTTTAGGGGCTGGTGCGTATAAATTGTTGTGTGCTTTGGTTTGCCCCTTGGACTTGCAAAACTTTCTGAAATTACCTGCTGCCCCTTTGAACACTTTTCCATTTGCTGATGAGCCCTTCACCCTTTTTCTAACATTGTGATGATGATCATGATCAAAGGGAGTAATGAAAAAGTTAGACTTTGAAGCTACATTGTTTGATATGATACAAGCCAAAACCAAGAGCAACAAAATTGCAATCTCAGCCATCTCATTACAATCGAGACATACCTAGAAGAGAACAAGGAGGACCGAAATATAAGAAGGAAAATCCCACAAAAAAACATATAAAAGCGACCTTTGAAAGGGGGAGATAGATAGAGAGTGATGAGCACCCTTGCCTTCTCTTTATACGAAAAATCATCATTTAGAGACATCATTGAGAAGCCGTTTCTTTTTTCTCCATCCTTTTGTTTAGTGTGAGTTTGTTAGGGTGACAGGGAGCGGGCTGTATTGTTTATCAAGCAGCTGCAAGTGTACTTATGTAAGATGAAGTGACATGCTTTGGCATGCATGTTATGGACACCTGTTTTTGTTGGTGTTATTCCCTATCAAAGAATTATTATACACCTTTTGAGCCTGCAAGTGTACTTGTGTAAGATCAAGTTATATGCATAGGGGAGTAGGATTCTCTCCCTTCATATTCTCATCCCCTCCCCTCCCCTCCCCTATCCTCCTCTCAAGCATTGCTTTTTGTCTTACTATCTCTATAAAAAAATCAATATAAGATGTTGACATGGCTTAACTGTAACCATTCAAATAGGAGGGGAGGAAGGGGAGAGAGATTAGGAGGGGAGAAAATCCTCCTCCATGCATAGGCATGCATGTGATGGACACCTGATCTCTAACATTAAAAATGAAAATATTTTTAATCTACCAATGCTTTAGCTCATAAATTTAATAAACTAAATTTATTGGTTTAGTTTCATAAATCATATCTACTCACTAGTCCAGTTTCATAAATAGTGTATAAGAATTGATACAATTTCATAAATAGTGCCTAATTTTTTTGTCCAATTTCATGAATAGTGTACAGTAATTGGTAAAGTTTCATAAATAATCTTTTTCTTGGTCTAGTTTCATACATAATGTTCACCTATTGGTTCAGTTTTCAATATAATGCCTAATGTTTTGTTTAGTTTCATAAATAATGTCTACCTACTGGTTCGATTTCATAAATAGTGTTTACTTATTGGTCTAGTTTCATAAACAATGCCTAGTTCTTGGTCCGCTTTCATAAATAATGGCCTAGTTCTTGGTCTAGTTTCATAAATAGTGGCATAGCTCTTGATCCAGTTTTATAAACAGTGCCTAGTTCTTGGTCAACTTTCATAAATAGTGACCTAGTTCTTGGTCCAGGTTCATAAATAGTGTTTAGTTCTTGGTCAAATTTCATAAATTATGTATAGCAATTGGTACAGTTTTATAAATAGTGTTTATTGCTTGGTTTAGTTTCATAAATAGTGTTTCTTTCTTGA